GACAAACTGTCCCTTGGATGGGAGATAGGCTCGTGAGCTTGAAATATCTTTTTCAGTTACAGTGTGACCGGAATACGTCAGATTTTTGTATTACACCTAGAGCCTATAATGAATCTGAGCATCACTGGGACATGGTTAGACGCCATCTACAAGGAAGAGAAGATAATCTTACTGTAGATATTTTAAAATTAAAAGAACAATTTTTTGAGGCATCAAAAGCCCAGTTAAATCTGGTGCCAAACTTGCTCCCTTTATTTTCTGTCCAATGCCTTCTTGGTCTTTGAATTAGACCTAACAAAATTGTAAAGGTTTCATTAGTGAAAGGCTGTATATAAACCAGAAGGCTGGGTTTCCTTGCTCCTAGAGAAAATGATCATTCCATGTGTATTTTGTTCTGAGCTTTTAAATGCATCGTCTTATTAGGAGATTGCTAAAATGACAAGTATTTTCAAAATAAACAAAACCATTTCATAACACTGAACAGACTATAAATATACTCCACACTGTGTATAATAGTTTGTTGTTTTAAAACATGTTTGTTAGGTAATCATTGGTTTACTCCACCCTTTTCCATTGGCTGACAGAGAATTTGCTAACTTTCTTTCTCCCGATGTGGTATTTTTTGTGCAAGGTGTTTAACATAGTGTGTGTTAATACCTACCTCTACAAGACAGCGTAAACAAACAGATGCGAGGAAGTTGAGAACTTATCTTACTCTTGATTTTAAAGTTCTCTTTCCCAAATAACTTACAGGAGCATATTTTTATTTCCTTTTTCTCCATAAATTTACAGTAAACTCAATTTTATCATTTTAAGAGATCAGCCCATCCTAATAATATCTCCTCCACACAACCATGGAGAGCATTTATTCAAAAAAGTGCATAAAACTGTTTTATGAAAGTTTTAGCTGACAGGATGTTCTTAAATCACAGCCTTCCACTTCCTGCTCAAGGGCTGTGCCTTTCTCCTCCTATTTCGTGAGAGATCCTTCTCTCTGCAGTCACCTTCATTTACCTTAGGAGAGAGTCCCAGCTTCTCTTCCTTTGATAATCTATTATGTATTATTTCATAGTGGTATTCAAATTATTTATTGAATAGTAGTATCTTAAATTTTATTTTGCTTATATACTTGTCTTTTATTGAAGAATATAAATAAAACTGACATTTATATATCTGTTTTAAATTCAACCTGGCATAGAAAAGGAACTGATAATTTCAGCAGGTCCTTGGAGTCAGGTCTTCCCTCTTGGTTGGCTAACATTTCTACTGTAGTTCCCATTTTTTCCCCCTTGGAAATCCATCACAGAAATATACTGTTTTTATAAAGACTCATTTTTCATTGCCTTATTTTCTACCACAATTAGAAGAAACATGGAGACTGGTTGTCTAAAAACCTGAGCCCTTGTTAGAACTTCCTGTTGCCAAGGGCAGGCTTCTCTTAGTCACTTGCTGAACAGAAATGCCACCCTTCCCCTGGGCTCCATGCCAGCTCTGGGGAGGGGATGGTGGCCTAGGAAAGTGGGGAGAGAAAGTTGCCAGGGACAGGCTGCAATACTCCTCCAAAGACTTTAATGTCTTAGTTAGAAAATCATGTGTTCCTATGACTTCCCATGTAAACAGGATAAATATTTGTCATCCATATAGCTGGGACTTGTGTTCCAGGAGTGAGATTCAGGTTGTTTATCTCCTCCTAGAAAATTATTGGTCTGTTGGAAATAGCCATGAGAAACATGGTAATTATATATTGATTACTAGTACTGCTGATCACACTGGAAGGAGAACAACTATCTTTATCTTGAGTAGGATTTCCAAAGCAACCATGAGGAGTTCCTTATTAGAGCCATAATAATGTAAAAGATAATACATTTATTCCAAGGAGATGTATTAGAAATGCATCATCCAGCTTCTGCACATTATAAACTATGCAGGAAGTGGCCAGCTGGCTCAAATAAATGAAAATAACAATTTTTAAATTTATTACACTGTGGCAGCTGTACGTATATCGCCTGTTTGTTAAAAGTGAATTTGGGCCAGGCATGGTAGCTTACACCTGTAATCCCAGCACTTTGGGAGGCCGAGACAGATGGATCACCTGAGGTCAGGAGTTTGAGACCAGCCTGGCCAACATGGTGGAACTCTGTCTCTACTAAAAATACAAAAATTAGCCAGGTGTGGTGGCAGGCACCTCTAATCCCAGCTACTTGGGAGGCTGAGGCAGCATAGTCGCTTGAACCCAGGAGGCAGAGGTTACATTAGCAGAGGCTGTGCTATTGCACTCCAGCCTGGGCGACAAGAGTGAGACTTTGTCTCAAAAACAAAAGCAAACAAAAAACTTTGAAAAGAAATGAGGATTTGAGGCTGGGCGCGGTGGCTCATGCCTGTAATTCCAGCACTTTGGGAGGCCAAGGCGGTGGGATCACTTCAGGTCAGGAGTTTGAGGCCAGCCTGGCCGGCATGGTGAAAGTCCGTTTCTACTAAAAGTACAAAAAGTAGCCAGGCAGGCGCCTGTAGTCCCAGCTACTCAGGAGGCTGAGACAGGAGAATCGCTTGAACCTGGGAGGCAGAGGTTGCAATGAGCTATCATACCACTGCCCTCCAGCCTGGGCAACAGAGTAAGACATCGTCTCAAAAAACAAACAAAAACAAAAAACAAAACAAAAAAGCAAGAAAAGAAATGAGGATTTGGGACAATGGGGACACTTATCTGATGCAACACAGGTGAGCAGTTCTTTTGTGCCCATGAAGACACAGTTCCCAGGAGCCTGCCTGGGGTCTCCTAGAACAAGTGTGTGGGTGTCCACTGGCTGCAGTTCCACCTTTCCTTTCCTGGACTCTCAGGAAGACACGAATTCTGAATTCAGATGAACTGACTTCAAGTTCAGGCCCTGTGACTCTCACTGGCCATGTAAAATGGAGAGATGGAGTTATTGTAAGGTTTTGAAGGCAAGACAAGGGTTAAAGAAAGGCCCCAGGATCCCAGCACTTTGGGGGGCTTAGGTGGGCAGATCATGAGGTCAGGAGATCGAGACCATCCTGGCTAACATGGTGAAACCCTGTCTCTACTAAAAATGCAAAAAATTAGCCGGGCGTGGCAGCGGGTGCCTGTAGTCCCAGCTATTCGGGAGGCTGAGGCAGGAGAATGGTGTGAACCCGGGAGGCGGAGCTTGCAGTGAGCCGAGATTGCACCACTGCATTCCAGCCTGGGCAACAGAGCGAGACTCCATCTCAAAAAAAAAAAAAAAAAAGAAGACCCAGGGAAAGAGAGAGAGATTTGGCAGCTTCAACAGCAACACAGTTTATTACTAGCAAAACCCTGCAGTGGGGGAAACCAGCTTAGTTACCAGTGCCCACTGCCCTTAAAGGGACCATCATCAGGAAAGTTTCCACTGTGGGCAGCCAGGACTCAGCCCAGCCAGGTACCTCTGAGAGACAGCATAGAACATGTGCTTCAGAGTCATCCCACCCAGAGCAAGGGAGCTGGGGTATTTATCCACCAATACCCACCAGTCACTCTTCAAGCCTCCTTCCAAGGGCATGATTCCACCAGAATGCCCTGCCTGCAGGCAAGAGTCAGACCTGAGGTTGAGGGCAAGGCCCCTGACAGCACCTCCAGCAATAAGCAGGAACACAGCCTGGTGTGGACAGTTTCAGTCACTCAGTGACTCCAACACACACACACATACACACACACACACTCTCTCTCTGTCACACACACACTCTCACATACACACACACACACACACCCCACACTCCAACACCAACACAGTGCAAACGTACATACACAGGCATACATGCATGACTGTTGCCCACTTAGATCCTGGTGAATCCATGGAATAGATGATAAGGCGGGAATCAGAGGGAAGAGCAAAATTAAGGGGAGTGAAGGTCAAATTTAGGGAACAAAATGCAAATTTAGGCAGAAAAATCAAGGAGAAAGAAGAGTGGCTTGGACACCAGATGCCTGCTGGGTGGCACCTGCTCTACATACACTGTCACTAATTCTCCAAGCAGACTTGTTGGGTAGAAGAAATTCCCCTCAATTTACCGATGGCAGAAATATAGTTCAGAAAAGAAAACTGATTTTACTAATGTCTCAGCAAGTTAGTGGACTCCCAGATCTTTCTGTCCACAAAGCCTACACATTCTCCCCTTGTTAGGCAGGCTGGGTGCCAGGCCCTGCTTCTGGGCTCTGCTCCTTTTCCTGCTAGGCAATAATGACAGAATTGACAAAAACGTTTTCCCCCTTCACCACCTGGAGTAGAGTCAATGAGATGGGCTGGGGAACAGGCCATGAGGTCCTGCACCCCCCATTCAATGTCTTCAGGATTGTGGTCTCTCAGGACTCTTGCCCCATGTGCTGGCAGCACTTCCGGTGTCTGGGTGTCTTGTGAGGTTGTACAGGACCCAGTATAGGCCACTGGCTGTGCTGTCATATCCTAAGAGGCAGCCAGGCTGGTTTGTGTCTCTTGGCTGCTTCAGCACCAGAGGATGGACAGCACCCATGCACTGAGGCCCTCAGGAGAATGGGAGGAGGGAAAGGAAGGGCAGAATGGAGTAATGCAGGGTCCATCCACCATGTCCCTGGATGGAGAGACCCCTGTTCCCACAATAGTCCACACCGGGACCACCACCGGCACTCATGAAGATGTCAGCCTCCATTTATATGTCCTCGTCTGACAACTCCTTCCCATTTTCATCCTGGAGACAAGACTTCTGAACACACTAGCTCTGAAGGCACCTGAGTCTAACCTGAGACAGTCCCATATCTGAGTGTCCCTCCTTTATCCAGCACCTTCCATGGCTCCACAGAGCCCTCCAGATTAAGTTCAAGTTATTTGATCAGACACTTGATCTCAAGCTCCATTCTACCTCCTGAATTAAGGCCCCAGAGAAGCTCACCTAGCTCTGCACAAGTGCATCACTGAAGTTTGAAGTCTTGAATGTGGCCTTAGGGGAGACAGGCCACAGGGAACCCCGGGGAGAGAGCTCGGTAAGACAGCCTACAGGGGACCCCGGGGAGAGAGCTTGGTGAGACAGGCCACAGGGGGTCCCTGGGGAGAGAGCTCAGCGAGACAGGCCACAGGGGACCCCAGGAAGAGAGCTCGGTGAGACAGGCCACAGGGGATCCCGGAAAGAGAGCTCAGTGAGACAGGCCACAGGGGACCCCGGGGAGAGAGCTCGGCGAGATAGGCCACAGGGGAGCCCAGGAAGAGAGCTCTGTGAGACAGGCCACAGGGGAGCCCGGGGAGAGAGCTCGGCGAGACAGGATGTCCAGCCCATCCTGCTGGACAGGATGGAGGAAGTCAGGGAACAGACAGGGTGTACTGTTGGGGTGCAGGGAGAGGCAGGTGCATGCTGGGAGGTCAGACCCTGTGAGGGCTGTAGGGGCATCAGGTGGAGTGGACTCAGGTGCACCCTCAGTGCACTGGGCAGGTCTTAGGCCAGGGTCCCTGGAACCCAGCTGGGTGATGTGGTTACTCCCGGGGGGCCTGCTGTCAGGTCCTGGCCACCCACCCTGGGCAGCACCATCCCATCTCAGGGCTAGACTTTCTGAGTCCTGAAACAGAACAGTATTGCCCAGGCCTGACAGACTAGGGGGACCTGCCAAGTCCTCCATCCCTAGACCAGCCTCCCACACAGCAGGAACAGTCTCTCACCTTCACCTTCAGGGCACTGACTGATCCTTCTCATTCTAAGGAAGAACTGAGGACCTGCGCCAGACTAGGAGCCAGTCCCCTCCCTAAGTGGGCCTGAGGGAAGCACCATCCCTGTCCCAATCCACTGCAAGTTTCAGCCCAGGAGATACATGGGGAAGGGAGGACGGGGTCTCCCTGCTGGCTGACACTGGAAAAGCAGGACCTGGAAGCAGAGGGAGCGCAGGGTTGGCAAGGGATGCTCCAGGTCCATGGAGAGCTTGGGCTGCACCCAGGGGCTGCCCCTCCTGGGCTAGAGGCTGTGCCCTCTGCAGGATCTGAGAAAGTCCAGTCCTGAGATGGGACAGCACTGCCCAGGGTGGGTGGCTGGTGCCTGACAACAGTCCCCCAGGGAGTGACCATATCACCTGGCCTGGGTCCAGGGAGCCTGGGCTAAGACCTGCCCAGTGCATTGAGGGTGCACCTGGAACCCACCCCATCTGACACCCCCACAGCCCTCACAGGGTCTGACCTCCCAGCATGCACCTGCCTCTCCCTGCACCCCAGCTGCCCACCTGCCTGTTCCCTGGCTTCCTTCATCCTGTGCAGCCCGTAGACTTTGACCATCTCTCTGGCCACTCTGGCCCTTCCTTTAACTTTGTCCTGTCAGGATCTCTGAGCAAGATCTCCCAGGTCCATCCAAACACCTGTTTTGTCCACTTTTGACTGGGCTGTTGGGCTCCTCTGGGCCATTCCAGCTGTCCACAGGGCCCACATTGCACCTGTGATCTCCCAGCAATGCTCATCATCCCCCAATGACAAAGCCCCTGCTAGCCACACCCCACACATCAGGTCCTCCCCAGTCAAACCCTCACTGATTAGACCCCCATCGGGAGGCCCCACTAACCAGGTCTCCACTGCCAGGCCCACAATGACCAGGACTCCACTGAAAAGTACCTTACAGACAAGGCCTCACTGACCAGGTTCCTCTGATCATGACCCCATTGCCTGGCCTCACAGATGAGGCCCCACTGACCAGGCCTCCAGGGAACAGGCTGCCACTGACCAGGCCCCTACTAACCAAGCCTTAGGTGACCAGATGTCCCTGACCTTGACCTAGTGAGTAGACGCCACTGAACAGGCACCCACTGCTGAGATCCTGCTGACCAGGTCACCCTGTATACCAGTGCTACAAAAGCCACAACTGACCAAGTCCTCTCTGACCAGGCCCCCGTTGATTAGGTTCCACTGACCAGGCTGCCCTGACCAGGGCCCCACTGACAAGGGCCTCACTGATGAGGACACACCCACCAGGCCCTGCTGACTAGGTCCCTGTGACCAGGCCTCCACTGAATAGCACCCCTTGACCTGGTCACCAGTGACCCAGCCCATGCTGACAAGGCTACCACTGAGCCCCAGCTGACCAGGTCTCCACTGACCAAGTCCCGTAGCCCAGGTTTGCACTGACCAGACACCAAACAACTGGGTGCCACTGGTCCCCACTCACCAAGACCCCACTACTAGATCCCCCTAATGTGACCCTCTCTAAACAGACCCCTGCTGACCATGCCCCCATTAAATAGGCCTCACTGACCAAGTCCTATCTGACTAGGTCCACTGACCAGGCCCACGCTGATCAGGCCCCTTTTAACCATACCAGAAGGCCAAGCAGCAATGAGATGTTTAATATGCTAGGAGTAGGAGCAAGACAGAGAGAGCAAAGAGGTGCCACATCTTGTTATAAGACCAGATCTCATGAGAACTCACTATCAGGAGATCAGCATCAAGAAGATTAACCATTGGTGAAGGATCCAACACCCACACCACTGCCCAGTGTTTCCAGGCAGTAGCCTGCTGCAGAGGCAAAGCCTCTTGGAAGACCTCTGCTAGGGCAGTGCAGAAGGAAAATATGGGCTTGGAGCCCCCACACAGGAGGCCACCACCCTCCAGAGCCCAGATTCAGACTAACCAATGGCTCACACCCTCAGTATGGAAAACCTACAGGCAGTCAACGCTAGCCCAGTCCATGAGAGCAGCCATGGGGGCTAAAACCTGCAAAGCCACAGGTGCACTGTCCTAGTAGAGGTTTTCCATGAGCCTCTGCCTCTGCATCAGATTACTCCCCCTTCCTACTACCTACCACCCTCAATATTTTCATGGTGGGAAAGCAGTTTTCCTGCCAGTGAAGTCTCCTTATTACACACAGCATCATGAAGAGCAGTGTTGCCATAGACATCCTTAACGTTTAACATCATGAAGAACAGTGTTGCCGTAGACATCCTTAATGTTTGGATTGGCACCATGTTCCAGCAGAATAATGGAACACGTCTCTTCCTGGCAATGTAGAGCCTATCGGTATTAGGTGAAAAATTAGACTATAAATTCTAAGAATTCAAAATACATATTCCACAAGTTTCACCAACTAGTTATATTTAAATGAGATAAATTCGTTTTAATTCTATGTATTTAGTGAAATCTATGTCATGCCAAAAGAGTTGGCTACCATACACCTTCATTAAAGGCGTCCTGTTCAGTCTGTCACAGATGTCAATCTGGCATTTTCTGCTCAGCAAGAGAGTGAGCACTTCCACACAGCCATGGGCACAGGCCAAATGTAGAGCAGTCCTATGAGAGCGAGAGGAGTTTTCAGGAAATTATAATGCAATATCTCAAAACCTACACTGCTTTATGTAATTGTAAACATTGAAGAGCATGTTATTCCTCTGCCTTCAAAACAAATAATTTTCTTTTGAAGAAAGTGCAATATTTATTAGCTCTTATTGCTCACTACCTTAATGAAACAGCAGCCTATTTGGATAGAATGAGCTTGGTGTTTGGATTCAGTTCAACTAGGACTTGAATTCTACTTGGAACTCGGTCACTTACCAGCTATTGCTTAGCCTTTCTGTGCTTCATTTTTCTCATTAATAAAATAAAGACGACAATAGCCGCTAGCTCACAGGACACCATTGTGATGTTTAAATGGGAATCTATGTAAAGTATTTAGAACCATTTCTAGAACAAGCAACAACTCAATAATTGTTAGATTGTTGTTTTTTTGAGGCAGGATCTTGTTCTGTTGCCCAGGCTGGAGTGCAATGGTTTATTACATATGTTTCATATATTACCTCACTGCAACCTGGAACTCCTAGGCTCAAGCGATCCTCCTGCCTCAGCCTCTTGAGTAGCTGGGACCACAGGAGCACACCATCATGCTCAGCTAATTATTAAAAAAATTTATAGAAAGAATCTCATTTTGTTGCCCAGACTGGTCTCAAATTCCTGGCATCAAGGGAACCTCCCATACCTTCAATGGTCACATATTATTCCATCCTATGGATGCAACTGAAACTCATTTATAGGACACATTCTGTGGGTTTTTGTTAACATAAATGCTGAGAAAAACAAAGTACGTGTATCCCTATTTTCTAAAGGTGTTTTAATACAATAGAATTGATGTGTAAAGGGTATATACATTTTTAAAATGTAGTAATTACCACCAAATTATCTATTTGAAAAGTCATCAGCAACTTAAACTTTAAGCAGCAGTATAAGGACCACTGCTCTTTATTCTCACAAACATTGTGGATAGAAAACAGTCTCATTCCTCTTTTAACTTAAATTCTTTTAAGAGAAATACTAAGGATTTTTTGCTATGTAGATACGTAAATTGTGGATCTGCAAAACAGTACTTTGCTCACTTTTAGAGTTCTTTTCTTATGGATTTGATTGGAAAGAATTCCCTGTAAAATGAAGATGTGCTTTTTATCTGTGTGTGTGTATATATATATATAATATCAGTAATATATACAATTCTTTATATGTATGTTCACTTATATATAATAAAATATATAAAAAAAAAATAAATTCCCAGTAGGATGAAGATACACATTTCATCTGAATTTCTATTTATATATATATTAGTAAAAACATATATATAGTAAATGTTTTTCAAGTATGTTATCTTTTGTTAATTTTTTTCTGATACACAGGGGGGGTTTTAATTTTTTTTTCTTTTTTATTTTCTTGAGACGGAGTCTCACTCTGTTGCCCAGGCTGGAGTGCAGTGGTGCGATCTTGGCTCACTGCAACTTCTACCTCCTAGGTTCAAGCGATTCTCCTGCCTCAGCCTCCTGAGTAGCTGGGACTACAGGCACATGCCACCATGCCAGGCTAATTTTTTGTATTTTTAGTAGAGATGGGGTTTCACTGTTAGCAAGGATGGTCTCAATCTCCTGACCTCATGATCTGCCCACCTCAGCCTCCCAAAGTGCTGGGATTACAGGGGTGAGCCACCATGCCCAGACTCGGGGTTTTAAGTTTTAGTTAGCTAAATCGACCTTCAGAATGCCTGCTTGTGAGGTCATTCTTAGGAAGGCCTTTGGCAACGTAAAATGTACCTGTATAAATAAGCATTTGTGTTTTCTTCTGGTACTTTTCTCATTTTGCATATGTAAAAATTTCAATCTGTATTCCATCAGGAACTCATTTTTGTGACATAAAATTTCATTAGTTTTCTTCAAAGAGCAGGCATTTTATTAATAACTCAACTGTTCCTACTCATCTGAAATGTTACCATTATCAATCCTTACATCTATATCTTACATATAGTTCAGTGTTTCTGGATTTCCATTCTGTTCCATGTATTTATGTCTTTTCAGCTGTTAGTAAACAATTGTGGGAATTAATAGCACATTCTGATATCTAGAGGAGCAAGTCTTTTTCACTCCGTTATAAAAATTTTTAAATGTCATCACGATAGTAAGATAGACAGCAGGTGTCATGCAAAAATGGTAAATCCTTGATATTTTCATTCGGTTTATGTAAAACTGATAAACATAGAAAGAGCTCATGTTTTGAGAAAACGGAGTCTTCCCATTCAAGGAACCCATCTCCCACTTCCAAGTGTCCCTCTGAGAAGCCCCAGTAAAGAACCTGACTACATGGGTGGATTCAGGTGTAAAACTGACCCAGGCTTTTATCTGAGAACTTCTCACCTGCTGAACATGGCTCACGGTATTTTTGACATGGGAATGAGTTCTCATTAGGCACCTCTAAGGAAGGAGACCACTACTACTCCTGCTGCCCTCCTCCCCCCACCTTGCCTAGTTCATAAGACAGGAGGAAAAAGAGAAAAAAACAAAAGTAAGATAAATAGCCAGACAACCTTGGCAACACCACCCAGCCCTAGGAGTTAAAAAAAGTAATAACAATAACATCAACCCCTCACCTAAACTACTTGTGTTATCTGTAAATCCCAGACACTGTATGGAAAAAAAAAAAGCACTGTAACACTTTTTGTTCTGTTAGCTGATGCATGTAGCCCCCAGTCATGTTTCTCATGCTTGTTCGATTTATCACGACCCTTTCACGTGGACCCCTTAAAGTTGTAAGCCTTTACAAAGTCCAAGTATTTCTTTTTCGGGGAGCTTGGCTCTTAAGACGCAAATCTGCCGACGCTTCTGGCCAAATAGAAAACCTCTTCCTTCTTTAATCCAGTGTCTGAGGAGCTTTGTCTGTGGCTTGTCCTGCTACATTTCTTGGTTACCTGACTGGGAAGTGAGGTGATTAATGGACGGTCGAGGCAGCCCCTTAGGCAGCTTATGCCTGCCCTGTAGAGCATCCCTGTGGGGGACACTGGTCAGCTTGAGCAATGTAGATCCTGAAAGCGCTCCCGGGTAGCATTTCCTCGGTGGAACTCCTCGTCAGAGCAGTGCACAGCAGGCCCCTGTGGAGGATCAAGACAGTGGCTGAACGCCGGGAAGGAACTGGTACTTTAAGTCCGGACATCTGAAACTTGGTAAGACTGGTCTTTGGAACTTGCCCACTCCATCTGAGTGGAAGCGTGGCCTGATCACCCACGGCCTGCCTGTACCCGGCACTTTGGCTTTTGTTTTTGACTTGAATTAACTGCTTGATACTTTGGTTTTCGTTCTGATTTTGACTTGGCTTAAATTGCTTGACGAACAGGTGTGCTTTTAACAACACTTTGGTTTTAGTTTTTATTTTGATTTAGTGTAAATTAGATGAGCGAGTGATCTTTTACCCTTTCCTTCTTATAGTGTGAATGTTGTTTTGTCTCAAGAGAAAAATAGGTCAGACACAAAAGTAAGCCCACTCTGCTAGGAACTGTCAAAAAGAAAAATAAAATAGGAAAGTCATCAAATCATCAAAACTTACTCTATTAAAATGCATGTTACAGAACCTTGGGAAAGGTTTTGCAGGAGATTATAGAGTTAAGTTAACCCCTCAGAGGTTCAGATCTCTGTGTGAATTAGAACTGCCCTCTTTTGGTGTTGGATGGCCCACCGAAGAAACTATAGACAAGGAACAATTGACCATGTATTTAAGGTGGTGACAGGGGTCGGAGGACAGCCAGTGTACCTAGATCAAGTTCCTTTATATTGACTCATGGTTAAATATAATATAGACAAAACCAGCATAAATTTAGCCCTGTTTAACAGCTTATTGCAAAAAAAGCCAAAAGTAAAAGAGCAGCTTCGCCAGCAGACACAGAGTTAAAAAGGGAGTCCGAGAAACAGCAAGAGAAGCCAGTTTTGCAAGAGCTGCCAGAGATAATAGAAATTCTTTCTCCACATGTCCCAGCCTACCGCACTTCACCAAGGCCAAAAGCCCCCTCAGAAACGAGATTCAGGAGCTAACACACCCCAGGTCTCACCTCCAAGGGGAAGATCAGAGCCTCGAGAGGCCAAGGAAGGAAGTCAAGATAGTCAAGTGGCCGTCTCAGATCTGGTCTTGCTCAAGCTGTGCAAATGCCTCTCAGGGAGACGGGAGGACCTGTCTATTATAATGACCAGGCCCACATCTAGGGGGACAACAGACCTTCATCTATCAGCCCTTTTCAACCATTGATCTACTAAACTGGAAACACCCTGAACCTGCCACCTTGCTCTCGGCAGCTAGAGCCCTGTCGAGCATGACTGTGTAGAGGCGTTGGACTCAAGTTTACTCTAGCAGACCTGACCTCCAGGACCAGCCTTGGGCATCAGTAGACTAGGAGCTATACGTGGACGGAAACAGCTTCATCAACCCACAAGGAAAGAGATGTGCGGGGTATGTGGTGGTAACCCTGGACATTGTCGTTAAGCTGAGCTCATTGCTTTAATTTGGGCCTTAGAACTCAGTGAAGGTAAAACTGTAAACATTTACACTGACTCTCGGTATGCCTGTTTAACCCTCCAAGTGCATGGAAAATTATATGAAGAAAAGAGCCTGTTAAACTCTAGGAAAAAGTGAAAAAAAGACCCAGAGAATGCAGCTCAGCTTCAGCATTTGCAGAGGTACTGAGAAGCACTTCTGCAGAGGCTAAGAGTTAGTAGAAAAAAGCAAGTAATACAAAAAACTATTTCAGAAATGCTTCGAGGAGCTGACAAAAGCCTAAGTCAGTTTTATAAGAGATTCTATAACAGAATCTCTGGCTTTATACACCATTTAACCCTGAGGCTGCTGAAAATCAGTATATAGTGAATACTTCATTTGTAAAGCAATCCCATGGTAACATCAAGCAGAGGCTGCAGGCATGAATACCACCTAGTCTATCAAAAAACTAGCCGGGCGAGGTGGCGGCGCCTGTAGTCCCAGCTACTCGGGAGGCTGAGGCAGGAGAATGGCGTGAACCCGAGAGGAGGAGCTTGCAGTGAGCTAAGATCCGGCCACTGCACTCCAGCCTGGGGGACAGAGCAAGACTCCGTCTCAAAAAATAAATAAATAAATAAATAAATAAAAGTGGCCTTTGAGGTGTATGCTAACTGTAACCAAGGAACAAAATTGGGAAAGAAAAAAAAAAGACTAAGATTAAGTGTAAAAAAGAAAAATTAGCAATGTGAGAGGACGTGGACGTGAATGTAAATGTGAAAGAAGTCAAGTTAGGCAAGGATTCAAGAGCCGGACAAGGCAAGAGAGAGATTAATGTGCAAGATGCAAAAAGAAAGGATACTAGAAGGGTAAATGTTCAAAAGGCAGTAAAGGAAATGGCCAAGGCTGCAAGACAAATAGGTCATCGGCCAAGGGCTGCCATACCTTGGAGGAACCAAATACTGATCTGATCAGACTGACAGGAGCTGAAGAATGTAAAGACTAGGGTAGACTATGCACCTTCTCATTAGGCTCCCAGGAGCCCATGGTCACATTAGAAGTTAAAAACAGCAAGATTCTGCTGTATCTGGATTCCAATTTCTCACTGAAGCCTAAGCCATTAAATGGAGTTACAAGTGGGGGAGGCGGGGGGAGAAGAACCCCTCCTCTAAGAAACTTAAACAGTAAAAAGAGCCATACCTTGTGAAAACTTGCCTATAGACTTTACAGAACTGCCCCAGGCTGGAGACTATCAGTACATGCTAGGGCTTGTTTGCTCACTTAAGATAAAATCAGGTTTTTGCCTATGGTCCTCCTCCGAGTCAGGTGCACCTCCACCAAATAAACTAGGTATTTGCCCTATAAGATTTTGTTTGGTCGGCCACCCCCAAATCATAGGTCAAATTAAAGGTGACCTCCAGAAACTAAAGAAATTAACCTAAAGAAAGCAAATGCAGGTAAAAATAGCCATACAAAATGTTCATAATTAAATAAATGAAAATGCCTATAAGCCTGATACCCCTTTAAATCTAGCGACTCTGTTTAAAGTAAAATCTAATTTTTCTAGGACCCATATAGAATTGGCTCTATACTGTAACCTTGTCCACTCCCACTGCTGTTAAAGTTGCAAGTGTTGTGTCTTGGATCCACTACAGTCAGCTAACACTAGCAGCTCAGGACAAGTGGACCAGCCAGCAGGACACAGATCATCCAATCTGGCTGATCCTGAGACAAGACCAAGCTGCTGCTGAGGATGACAGCCCTGTTCTGGTCACTCCAGAGGTTGACCAGTCTACACATGGCTGAAGCTTGAGGAGACAACAAGCCCTGTTCTAGTCACACACCGGCAGCTGACTAGTCTATGCACGGTCATAGCTTGAGGACTCATCAAGCAAGTAAATGTAGTTAAAAATCTTAATAGTTTTCCTGCAGTACTGTTTTCCTATTGTTCTGTCGCTGTATTCAACCTTTTTCCCAGATAAGGACCTCTTTTGTTCTTGCTGTACATTGTTTTCTTGCTGTTACCCCCCATAACCATGCTAGAAGAAATGCCTATATAAGGTGTCCCCACTGTACACATAGTACTTAGGAAACTCAGACCCGTCCAGCCCAGCAACAATTCCGAGTCTTATAGTCATTCTTTAAATATATAAACCAGAAGTTACCAGAACCTCTTCCTTTAGCAAAAACAGAAAAAGTCTATTTGCTCAGCTGGCTGAAAACAGTGCTGGCAGCCTGGATATTTCTTCATGTTATGTTTATAAAAAGGCTAACATAAGAGACCAACGGCCTTGAGAAGCAAAAGAGTTAATGCCTCAAGATAACTTTAACTAACTCTTTCCCAAAACAGATGCCCCAAGTTCAAGTATCTGGCTCTTAAAAACTTCTGTTATTAAAAAATACTGTTACTCGCTAAGAAAAAGCGTTTAAGACCCAGTGACAAAACTAACCTGCTTAGGACATGACAAAGTTGATACATGTGCCTGTACAAGTTTAACACAGATTTGATCCTAGGTCTTCATTTAGAAAATAGTTTCCAGCTATAAAAATTTAAAACCCTCATTATGTTCTTCCCGCCATCTTGGCTCCTGTGGAGGCCTGCTGGGAATGGGGCTTCTAAAAGGAACTATGTCTGGAAGGCTGTGGTCCAAGGCCATTTTTGCCGGCTATAAGCGGGGTCTCCAGAACCAAAGGGAGCACACAGCTCTTCTTAAAATTGAAGGTGTTTATGCCCGAGATGAAACAGAATTCTATTTGGGCAAATGATGCGCTTATGTATACAAAGCAAAGAACAACACAGTGACTCCTGGTGGCAAACCAAATAAAACCAGTCATCTGGGGAAAGGTAACTCCTGCCCATGGAAACAGTGGCATGGTTCCTGCGAAATTCTGAAGCAATCTTCCTGCTAAGGCCATTGGACACAGAATCCGAGTGATGCTGTACCCCTCAAGGATTTAAACTAATGAAAAATCAATCAATAAACGTGGATTTGTGCTCTTGTAAAAAAACCCCTCATTATATTACTGGTAATAGAAAGTTGCTTGCTGCTCCCCTGTGTATTACACTTGCTCCTTCAAATGATAAAAGGTTTTGTAGCTACCATGGTTCATCAGAAAACTTCAGCACAAGTGTATTACATAAAACACTATCACTCTGTCTCCCAAAGAGACTCAGAAAGTAAAAATAAAAGTGAGAACTCCCACTAATTAGTGAAAATTCTCAAAGGGGGGATAAGGAAGGAGACCACTACTACTCCTGCTGCCCTCCTCCCCCCACCTTGCCTAGACATAAGACAGGAGGAACGAGAGAAAGAAACAAAAGTAAGATAAATAGCCAGACAACCTTGTTACCACCACTCGGCCCTAGGAGTTAAAAAAAACTAATAACAATAACATCAACCCCTGACCTAAACTACTTGTGTTATCTGTAAATTCCAGACATTGTAAGAATAAAAAAGCATTGTAAAACTTTTGTTCTGTTAGCTGACGCATGTAGGCCCCAGTCACGTTTCCCACGCTTGCTCGATTTATCACGACCATTTCACCCTTAAAGTTGTAAGCCTTTACAAAGGCCAAGTATTTCCATTTCGGGGAGCTGGCTCTTAAGACGGGAGTCTGCCCACGCTCCCGGCGGAATAAAAAACCTCTTCCTTCTTTAATCCGGTGTCTGAGGAGTTGTCTGCAGCTCATCCTGCTACACCTCCACGACCCCATGTTTTAAACGTGTATACGCTTAACTTTGTGAGTTAAATCACTCAAATTCTCCACCAAGTGCTCCAGGCGGGGAGTCGCCAGCGATGGAAAGCAGCTGAGGCTCCGCTTGGCTCCGCTGCTCCGAAGGTGCCTGGCGCCCTCCCAGGCCCCCGTCCCAGGGGCTGCGGGGCTGCCGGGCCTGGGGACCCCTCCCACCCCGGGCTGAGCTCCCGCCAGCCGTCCTTCCTGTCGCGGGCATCCACGTCCGGGCTCCTGCGCGCCAGGCAGCTCCGCCTCCGCGGCCTCGCCCTTGATGGCCGCTCTGTGGGTCTTCCGCAGTTCCGCGTCCCTGGTGTGGGACCCGGGATCCGCGTACTCGTGGTGGAGGGAGCCCAGGACCGCCTGGCCCAGGCGTCTCCCGAAGTTGAAGAGCTTCCTCATGGGGCGACTTCTCCTCAGACGCCCACCAGGGGCTCCTGAGCCGCCGCGGCTCCTCCTGGCCTTTGCATCCTCACCCACCCCCAAACCCGCGATGTAGCTCAGAATCCGCGACCCAGCCCGGCCCACCCACCACAGCCTTCAGCAGCGACACTCGCAGCCTTCGACCTCTCAGACCGAGGGAGCCCCGCGAAGCCGTTAGGCGCGCGCCTGCCCCTCAGCGCCCGCGCAGACTCCGGAAGCCGCTCCCAAGCCCGCGGGACCGGCGGCGGGAGGCCGGCAGGGGGCGGCCGCAGCTCCAGCGCAGGCGCCGAGGGCTTGCGAGTTCTCCTGGGCTCGCCCGGGACGTCCCGGAATCGCAGGCGCCCAGCCCGCCCGGCCTCCGCTGGCGGGGCCCTCCGCAGCCACCGGGGATGGGGCTGAGGGCCAGTTCCCGCCCCGGTGCAGCCGCTGCCGGGCAGATCTCCCGGCCTGTCCGCAGCCGCGGCGACATCCGGCCCTGGTTCTGGGAGGCCGAGAGCGCCAGCGAGCTTGGGAGTGGCCAGGCTGCTGCGAGCAGGCAGAGGGCGCCCGCAGTTTGAGCGCCCGGGCGGCGGAGCATGGCTCGGACGGCCTCTGGATCCCGAGTGTACCTGGCCTGAGAGCCTGCCAGGCCTGCCCCCGCCCGGCTCCTCCTCTGCCGGAGCTCGGGACCACTAGCCAGGCGCCCTCCGCAGTCGCCGGGAATGGGGCTGAGGGCGGGTTCCCGCCCCTGTGCAGCCGCCCCAGGGCAGACCGCCTGGCTTGGCCGCAGCAGCTGGGACATCTGGCCCCAGTTCTGAGATGTTGGGAGTGCGGGCTGAGATGTCGGGGGTTGCCTGGAGGCTGCTGCCTGCACACAGAAGGCGGCTGCAGCTTGGGTGCACAGGCGGGCTGGAGGGGCATGGCCTGGGAGGCCTGGGGATCTCCAGCGCGCCCAGGCTGAGGGTCCCCAGGACTTGCCTCCCGCCCCACTCCTCCACCGCAGGGAGTTCGGGGCCGCTGGCATGGGCACTTGGCAGCCACCCCGATGGGGTTGAGCGCCAGGTTCTCAGTTCTCGCCCCTGTGCAGCCGCCGCCGGGCAGAATGCCTGGCTTGGCCGCAGCCACCGGGACACCTGGCCCTGGTTCTGCGACGCTGGGAGTGCGAGCAGAGCAGGCTCGGGAGTTGCCAGGCGGCTGCTGCCTGGACACAGAGGGCGACTGCAGCTTGGGCGCCCAGGCTGCGGAACATGGTCTGGGTGGGCTCCGGAATGCGTGCGCTCCAGGCCTGTTGGCCCCTACTGGACCCGCCCCGCTCCTCCTCTGCGGGAGCCTGGAGCAGCTGGAATGGCCACTCTGCAGTCACCGGGGATGGAGTTAAGTTTTCTTATCCCATGCATGCACACAAAAAAGTAACTATTATCTGAGATAATTAACATGTTGACTTCATTTTGGTAATCATTTCAGAATGTGCATATAGATATAAACACATCACACTGTACACCTTGAATATTTACAATTTTTATTTCTCTGTTATACCTCAGTAAAGCTGAAAAAATTAACAGGATTGAAAGGATAACCCCACAGTTCTATAGTAGTAGTTGGACACTTCAATACCTCATTTTAATTAATGGATAGAAAAACCAGATAGAAGCTTCATGAGAAGTGGAAGACTTGAACAACAGTATAAGCCATTTAGAGCTCATACACATATACAGAACAGTCCACCCAACAACAGCAGAATATACATTCTTTTCAGGCGGATATGGAACTTTCTCTAGGATAGGCCATATCTTCGTCCACAAAATAGGTCCTAATCATTTTAAAAAGCTTGAAATAATACCAAATATAATTTAAAACCACAATGGAAGAAACAACAGATACATAAAAAATGAAAACTCGAAAATTCACAAATATGCAGAAATTAAACAATACACTCTTAAACTACCAGTGAGTGAAGGAATAAACCACAAGTGAAGTTATAAAACATCTTGAGACAAAATAAAAACAAAACATACCAAAATGTATTGAATACAGTGAAAGTAGAGTTTAAAGGAAAATGTATGAATATAAACAACTACATTTAAGAAAAAAATCTCAAATCAGTAACCTCATTCTATACCTAAGGGCAGTAGAAAAAAACAAACAAACAAAAAAGACTAAATCCAAAGCTAGAAGAAGGAAAGAAATAATAAAGATTAGCACATAAATCAATAAAATAGAAGGTTGGAAAGCAGCAGAAATAAACATAGCTAAAAGTTGATTCTTTGAAAGATCAAACCTTTCACTATATTGACTGAACAAAACATGGAAGACTCTATTAAAATCATAAATGAAAGTGGCATTGCACCTTAAGAGAACTGAAGGGGCAATATAGGCCACAAAGGCTTCAATTGTTAGGCAAGTCATACTCCGAGCTGGGCTTGGAGCCAGTGGGATGTGGACGGTGGGGAGAATGTGGCCTCCTGAGACACCAGCCAGAGCAGCTAAGGGAGTGCTCACAATACCACTCCCTCACCCAGCAGCAGCCACACAACACAAAGAAACCTGTGAATTTGGGAGAGGGAGAGCACAGTGACTGGGGAATTTAACGTTAAACTCAGTGCTGCCGTGTCAGTAAAGACCTGGCAGAATTCCTCACCTGCTGACTAAAGAATCCCTGTACCCAGAATAAAAACAGTGATACCCAGGCAATACTCCGTGGGCACTGGGCTCTGAGAAGTACCAACTTCATGTGTGACTCAGCACATTTCCAGCTGTGGTAGCTATGGTGAAAGACTTCTTCTGTTTGAGAAAAGCAGCAGGGAAAGTAAAGGGAACTCTGCGTTGCGCCTGATATACCAGCTCAGCCACAGTGACGTAGAGCACCAAGCAGATTCTTAGATTCCATAAGTCCAGGCCTAGGGGATTGGTCAGCATTTCTGCACTTGTCCTGGGCCAAAGGTCGAGTCCCAGGCATTGCAGAATTTATCCCAAGCTAACCAAAGAGTCCTTGGGCTTTAAGTGAGAAATTGATGATTTGGCAGAACCCCCCCACTGGGCCGGTGGTGTTGGCAGTCATAGGAGAGGCTCTTCTGCCTGCAGACAGGGGAAGGAAGAGTAGAAAATACTTTGTCTTACACCCTAAGTGCCAGGTTAGCTACAGTAAAATAGAAGAGCAGGTAAATTTTGAAGATTCTGTGCTTTAATCTCTGGCTCCCAGACAGCATCTATGGACCCACTCATGGCTAGGGGAACTTGCCGCCCTATAGGCAGAGACACAAACCTGGCTGGCTTTGCCATCTGCTAATCATACAGTCCTAGGGCTTTGAATAAACTTACATGGTAGCCAAGTAGTGGTTACAGGGGGCCTTGGGTGAGACCAAGTTCTGTGCTTATGTCAGGTGTGAACCAGCACGGTCTCAGTGGTAGTGGCCACAGGGGTGCTGTTACCCCAACTCCAGCTCCACATGCCTCAGCACAGAAAGAGCCTCTGCTGGTTTGAGAGAAAGTAAGGGAAGAGAATAAGAGTCTCTAATTGATAAATCAAGAGAATTTTTCCTGATGTTAATCCAAGGTCACCAAGGCAGTACCCCTATGTGTTTGCGTAAACTACTGTGTTATTGGGTTTGGGACCTAAGTCTCTTTGAATACCTGGAAAGTGTTTCCAAAAAGAATGGGCACAAACAAGCCCAGACTGTGAAGACTACAATAAAGACTGAACTCTTCAATGCCCAGATATAGATGAACATCTACAAGTATCAAGATCATCCAGGAAAACATGACCTCACCAAACAAGCTTAAAAAGGCACCAGGGACCAATCCTGGAAAAACAGAGATATGTGACCTTTCATACAGGAAATCCAGAATAGCTGGTTGAGGTAATTCAAAGAAACGTAATGTAACACAGAGAAGGAATTCAAGATTCTGTCAGATAAATTTAACAATGAAATTGAAATTTTAAAAAAAGGCAAAATTCTGAAGTTAAAATGCAATTGTCATACTAAGAATTCATCAAAATTACTTAAAAGAATTGATCAAGGAGAAGATAGATTTAGTGAACTTGAAGACAGACTATTTGAAAAGACAAAGTCAGAGGAGACAAAAAAGAATAAAAAATAAAGCATGCCTACAGAATCAAAAAATAGCCTCAAAATCAAAATCTAAGAGTTATTGGCCTTAAAGAGGTGGTAGAAAAAGAGATAAGAGTTAAACATTTATTTAAAGAAATAATATTAAATAATATTAAACAATTCCCCAACATTCGATATCAACATTCGAGTACAAGAAAGTTACAGAACATTAAGCAGATTTAACCCAAAGAAGACCACCTTAAGGCACTTAACTGAACTCCCAAAGGTTAAGGATAAAGAAATGATTCTAAATGATGAGTTGATGGGTGCTGACGAGTTGATGAGTGCAGCACACCAACATGGCACATATATACATATGTAAAAAACCTGCATGTTGTGCCCATGTACCCTAGAACTTAAAGTATAATAATAATAATAAAAAGAAATGATTCTAAAAACAGCGAGAGAAGAGACACAAATAACATTCAGTGGAACTCCAATACATCTGACAGCAGACTTTTCAGGGGAAAATTTACAGTCTGAGAGAGTGGCATGACATATTAAAAAAGCTGAAGAAAAAAAAAGAATAATGTATCTCGTAAAAAGTCCTTTAAACTTGATGGAGAAATAAGAACTTTTCCTGACAAACAAAAACTGAGGTATTTAATTCACACCAAACCTGTCCTACAAGAAATGCTAAAGGGAGTTCTTAACCTAAAAGAAAAGAGTCAATGAGCAATAAGAAATCATCTGAAGATACAAAACTCACTAGTAATAGCACATGGAAAAACACAGAATATTATAACATGGTAATTATGGTGTGCAAAAATCTCAAATAGAAAGAGTAAACAATAAACCAATAAAAAATAACTACAACATATTTCCAAGACATAGACAGTAAAAATAAGGAAAGAAGAGAAACAACAAAAAGTTTAAAAGAACGGTAATGGAGTTAAACTGTAGAGATTTTATTAGCTACTTTGCTTGTTTCTTTGTTTATGCTATCAATGTTAAATTGTCCATAGTCTAAAATGATGTGTTATAAGATATTATA